ACTTGGTCCCAGGGGAATCCATGCAAGGGGCAGAGTAGGACAATGTGTCTGGGCACTCTCTCTCTTTTCCAGTGACCAGTAAATGAGCAACTCTGTTCCACACCCCACCACCACCTCCTAGCCATGATGTCCTGCCTCACCACAGGTCCACGGCCCTGGGGCCCAGATAGCTCTGCAACCATGAGCTCAGATCAACATTTCATGCTCAGCCCCCATTTTTATCAGGAATTTTATCACTGCAGCATGAAAAACCAACACAGTATTTTTCCCTCTAACTTTCTGGGTTTGTGGTATGTTTTACACGACACCAGAGCCTTCATAAATATATGAAAACCAATATGGTGGCTCATGCCTGTAATCTTAGCAGTGGGAAGGCTGAGACAGGAGGTATATTGGCTGGCTTTGTGTGTCAGCTTGACAGAAGCTAGAGCCATCAGAGGGAAAGGAGCCTCAGTTGAGGAAATGCCTCCATGAGATCCAGTTATAGGGCATTTTCTTAATTAGTGATCAATGGGGGAGGTGGTGGGATACCATGGTGGGTGGTACCACCCCGGGCTGGTGGTCCTGGGTTCTATAAGAAAGCAGGCTGAGCAAGCCATGGGGAGCAAGCAGTAAGCAGCACTCCTCCATGGCCTCTGCATCAGCTCTTGCTTCCTGGATCCTGCCCTGTTTGAGTTCCTTTCCTGACTTCCTTCAGTGATGAACAGCAAGGCTGAAGTGTAAGCCAAATAAACCCTTTCCTCCCCAAACTTGCTTTTTGGTCATGGTGTTTTTTCACAGCAATAGAAACCCTAACTAAGTCAGGAGGATTACTTGATCTTGAGGCCAGCCTGCTAGGCTCCACAAAAGAAACAGAGGCCTGAAGACACAGTTAAACCTGTCAGACACTTGTGCATGTATACTGATGTGTGTGCATTCGCCTGTGGGGCGGGGAGGGAGGGGTGCATGCATGCACCACTGAATGGCACCCCCACCCTAATTTTAATATATTTAACCCAATACATCAAAATTGTAAATTTGAAAAAATAACACTACTTCAAAGACTTAGCAAAAATAAAAAAGTGAAGCATCCCTTAATAAATTCCATGTGTTTCCCATGGTTTCAGCACCTCCCACTTCAGAGAGTTATATTTCCAGTTCTCCATAATCACAGGTGGCTAATGGTTACCAGATTGAATAGCACAGGAGAAACTGGGGCCTTATAGGATTGGAGAAGCCAATCCAAAAAAATAACTAAACAAATAACTGAATAAAGGAGCACACAATGCCACTAGAGAGCCCTTGGAGTCCATCAGAGCCAAGGGCAGAGGAACACTGGGCAGAATTTATGTGGAGACTCATGAACATTCATGAAGAGGCGGCCTTGCCCACAGGTCCAAGCACTGGATGTAGGAGACTGAGAGAATCAATGAGACCAGCACTCTGGCAGAAGAGGGATAATCAAGTACAGAGGAGCAGGAATCCTCCAGGAACCCCAGCCTAGAACATCACTGTGACCCAGGAGAGATGAGGAAGGTGTAACTCACGAAAAAGTGGGGGAGGGTGGGGATCATTTCACCAGGGAACGTTTAAACAGGAGTGAAATGATCTTGAGAGTTCGAGGTGTCTGGAAGACCAGGACTCGGGGCCTATAAGCTAAGAAGATGGAAAGCAAGCAGGTACAAAAGACCCCTAGCCAGCAGCCCAGACGTTCTAGAAGCCCAGTTAATCAAGTCCACGGGGGAACGTGACTACAGGCAACAGCCACAGAACAGAGCGCCAAGCAGCCGTCAAGGCACAGCCCCAGCCTTTAGCCACACAGACCTGTAGGATGTTCTTAAAAACCCAATACCTGTCCCACACGTTGAGGAGTAACATCTCCAAAACACTAGGGGACTGGGGACCACCAAGGCCCTTCCCTGCTGTAAAATGCTACAAACCCTATCTAAATCAGAAGCCAGATTGGCAGCTCTCCGCCTAGAGACTCAGGTAACAAGCACGCCTTCTCAGGAAGAGGACACCAATCATAACCAGAAGCTGTTTATCTTATGAAGTGGTCTCCTTCCTTCCACACCCAAGGCAAGGACTCTCCCGTCCAGGCCTGAATGCCACATCTACTTAAACACATAGCCCTGTCCCATCCCCTCCATACACACACACACACACACACACACACACACACACATCTGGTGACATGATGCCTCGTCTTCTCCCCCACTCTGGGGTAATAAAGAGAAGACTGGCAAAATAGTTGAAATGCCTTCTTTTAAAAGTACACAGCTGTGTGGGCTGGGACTATTTTGAGCTAAATGCTTCAAACCTTCAGGCTGCAGCGGCTCTAGGCATCTGCTGACTCCAAGTGAACAGTGAGGAAGTCCAGTAAAAGACGGCGCTGCCTCAGTTGAATGCCAGATCCTTGCTCTGCAGACATGCTAAGGTGAACTGGGCATCTCACCCTCTCTGCTGAATACAGGAACTGGGTAGCCCAGCATGGTGGGATATAGGGTGTAGTGAAGGATACACAAAGTTAATGCTGGAGAGGCCAGAGAAGAAAGCAATGGCCCTGTTCGGCAGTCCTAGAAAACCAGGGTCCGGCATGCGGTCTTGGAAGATGTAGAGTTGAAATGCATAAGCCAGGGCCGTGGGTGTAAAGGAAAGAGCAAGACATGAAAGACAAGGCTCGGAAGGGCTGGGTTGAGGGAGGCAAGGCGAACTGGAGCCAGTGTGTAAGCCCACCCCCCCAACACCTCATATAGGAAATTCCATGCCTAGGCTGTGGCTAGACCGAGCCAGTGAAGTTCATCAGCGGAGGAATGAGGGAAGTGAGAAGGCTGGGGTAAGCCAAAGCAGGAAATGGTAGGGGACCACAGGACCACAGACCCTCTCTGTTCTCTGACAACTGGCATTTCACCATATGGGCCCCAAAGGAAACGCCTAGACTTAACATCATACAAAACTGAGAGCATCCCTCTACACATAGCTCCCAACCCTGACATTCCCCGGTCTAATTTCTGCTCTTGCCCCATAGATGTTCTCCAGAGGAAGAAGCCCCCTTGCCCTGTCTTCAGGAGCTATCAATCATCAAAACACAGTGTAGGACAGAGGGTCGATAAACACATAAACACACACACACACACACACACACACACACACACACACACACACACACACGGGCACGCGTTTCCTGGCGGGCTGGTGGGAATAACAGGATGTATTTGGCATTTTCCTACAAACCAGGATTTCCCTAGCATTCCAGAGAAACGTCCAACTGGCCTCCCCTGTGAACCTGTCCACCGCACTATTCCAGGGACCATCTAAATTTCCTGGACACTTTCTCCTTGGCCTTGAACAACCTACAAAACCTCCCTGAGGTCCAGGTCTCGGGCCCCTGTAAATGAGCACTGGGACAGCTCAGTCTAGAAGTTCAGCCATGGAAAGTCACCGCATCTGTCGAGGGTCACCAAACTTCCTGGAGCCTATTACCAAACCTGACGTAAAGCAGGTGTCCCCAGTTCCTCAGGCATCCCCTTCTCTCTCCCTTCTGCTCTCTAAAAGTAGGTGAAAAAGGGGAATAGCGGGGGAGGGAAGAAGAGGGGGGAGACACTGGGGGAGAGGGGAGGGGGAGAACAGGAGCGAGGTTCACCTTAGAAGAGCCCTACTCCAAATTGTCCCTCCACCGCTGAGTAACGGTGTAAGCCACCTCTCTTTTGAATGTTACCTCGTCTGTGAAGTGGGCATAAAAATAAATTCCGCGGAAGCGCGGAAGGTGGTCGGAACTCAGAGGGATAATGCTGGTGTCAACTGTGAGTTGAGTAAAGCAATGGAATCTAGGACTTGGGACACAGCGAACAGCCTTAAAGGGGGGAAACTGTTCCTGAAATGTGCACCTGAAAGAACCAAATGCATGCTCCTGCCCCCGGGATCCCACCCTCGCCGGGAGAGCAGAACGGCGAGCGCGTCTGGCGGGAGCGCGCCAAGACCGAGCACCTGTGCGCGCAGGTGGGGCCGGCGCGCGGGGGCAGCAGCATGGCGACACCGCCCGCAGAGCCAGCTGAGCCAGGGGCAAGGTGACACGACCCACCTGAAGACGCGCAGCAGCAGGCAGGCGATGAGCAGCGCGCTGAAGGCGCACGCCACGATCACCGCCGCCTTCAGCGTGGGCAGGTCACGCAGCAGGCTGGAGAGACGGGTCACCACAGCGTCGCCGCTGCTGTTGGAGCCGCCCCCGCCCGCCACGCCAGATCCCAACCGGGTGACATTCCCCGGGCCGGGCGGAGGCTGATGCTCCGCTTCGGGCTGTGAGGCCGAGGCGGACTCGGCTCTGCGAGCGAGGACGGCGGGCGCGGCCAGGAGAGCGAGCAGCAGCAGCAGCGGCGGCCGCGGCGGCGGCGGCGGCAGGGCGCTCATGGTGCGCTGTGCGCACGGTGCCGAGGTCTGCGTCCCTGAAGCCTGAGCCCGGGAGGGAGGCTTGCACCCAGGAGGTCGGCGCCCCGGAGGCTTGCACCCCGGAGGCCTGCGCCGGGGGGCTCCCGCGGCCGAGGCGGCTGCGCGGTGCTCGGCAGGAAGCTGCAGAGCCCGGAAGAACCCGCGCCGCCGCCGCCGCCGCAGCCACCAACACGTTGCACCGAGTCATTCGACGGGCTTCGGCCCCGCGTGGGCGGGGCAGACCTCAGCTGGGTCCCCGCTGCGCTCCGCCCCTGGGTGGCCCCAGGCTGATCGGGACCTGAGACCCCCACGGAGAAATTCTAACGGCCTGGCTCACTCTGCTCCAAGCCGTATGCTGAGCGACTTGTGCGCTTTCTCATTCAATGCAGCAGCCCCCACCTAGAAACAGGTATTCTCTGGTCCTCATTAGTTGATTTAGCACGCTGAGAGCCAGTTCACAGCAGCCCCGATTTCCCACCTGGTGAACTAGTTTTCTGCGTTCCCACCTTTGGAAGTATTAGCACCTTCTCCAGACCAGCCTGAAGTTTCAGACTCAGATTGTCGTGCTGTCTCTGGTCTATAAACTAAATGACGCTGGAGTGGAAAACAGCTATGGATACTCTTCTGGGAGCCCAGGAACTGAAGCAGTGCTGAGTGCGTTCCTGGAGCAGACCGCAGCTCGATCTGGAAGGCACTCCCTAATGATAGGTAAATATCTAAACACGTAAAACAGGAATCAAGAGACTTTGAACACCTCATTTCTGGTCCTGCTAGAGACGGACAAATATAATGATGTAGTCATTATCTATATCTGCATAACCAAACTTCTATGATTACCCCAAAACTTAGTAGCTCACAGCAGCCCACATATATTATCTCAGACCCAAGCGTATCTGGGTTCTCCAGTTTCAAGGTGTCTTATGATCTTAAGCTTAAGATCTCCCAAGGTTCACCTGGGGGAGGATCTGTCTCTGGGCTCAGTCAGCTTCTCCTGGTAGATTCAGCTCTTCACAGGCTATGAGACCAGAGCCTCCATTCCCCGCCATCTGTCTGTCAGAAGCTGTCCTGAGTTCTCTTTTTGGAACATCTTGATCTCTTTTGGATCAAGAGATCTCTTTTGACATCTTCAAAGCATTCAAGCCCAGTTAGCAATTAAGTCAGCAAGCAAGACAGAAGACAATTCTATAAAACTTAATCGCTGATATGACATCCCCACACTTTTTCCTGAACTAATTCATTAGAAGCGTGACACAGCTCTCATTCACACTTGAGGAAAGGAGACTGTGCAGTGTTGTAAATAACAGGAAGCTAGGAGCATGGGGGCCACCCAACAGCTGTCTGCCATATACAGTGTGATGAATTTTTATTTGCCGCGGGGGGGGGGGTTGTTGAACAACATTCAGGTTCCCAGAAGTCATTGCCCACAAGGCACTATGTGTAATGTGTGTTTGCAAGCATGCTACAGAGATGAGAGATAAAGATAGATCATTTGCTCAGCATGATGGCGCATACCTTTAATCCCAGCACTGAGGAGACAGAGGAAGGCAGGTCTGTATGGGTCCCATGCCATTTTGGTCTACATAGTGAGTTCCAGGATAGCCAGAGCTACATGGTGAGTCCCAGACTACACACACACACACACACACACACACACACACACACACACACACACAAAGAAGAAAGAAAAAAATCATATGGTTGAGAGTCTTCATTTTCATATCAAAATATACACAGAAAGCTCCCTAAAGATCTGGGTGTGATGTCCATAATTCCCCAGCCTTCTTCTCTAAAACAAGCTTCAGGTACCACAGCCTTGTAATCTGTTACTTAGAAGAAATTCCGACATAGTACAGCACAGGTGTGCCCAAGTTAAAGCCTCTCAATGAGGATGGAAGTTAACCATTGAGTGGTCTTGGCCAGAAAGGATTTAGCCAGTGAATAGCAGGTTTTTAATATTTAATACGAGTAACAGGGCTGAGCACAATAAGGTCACTGAGGAAATCCACAAGAAGAGGGAAACAGTCTAGAGAAATGGAACTCCAAAGGACCTTGGTCCAGTTCCTGGCACCCACATCTGGTGGCTTCACAACTCCAGTTCCGGGGGATCCAACGCCCTCTTCTGGCCTCCCCAGGCACTGCACACAGGTGGTACACAAACAGAGAAGCAGGCACACAAACATACACATATAAATATCAGCATCCTCTCCTTTTGCCATAATCTATGTGCTGTAGATTGACTTAACTAACACTAAGAATACAGAAAGCATAAACATTAAACTGCTTTAATAAAGTGACATTCTAGGATCTTTCATTCTCCCTATTTAAGGTTCACTTATAAATTGCCTCATATTAGAACCTCTGAAACATTTTGATACAAATAACTGTGAACAATGGACTTTTTAATTTTATTTGATAAATATGTTTTTCATTTATTTTACATACCAACCAAAGTTTCCCCTCCCTCCTCTCCTCCCAGTCCCCCGCTTCCCATCTACCCTCCTCTGCTGTGGGATGGTCTGTATGTCAAATGTGTTGCTGATTGGTCAATGAATAAATCACTGATTGGTCAGTGGCCAGGCAGGAAGTATAGGTGGGACTAACAGAGAGGAGAATTGAGAGAACAGGAAGCTGGGTGGGGGAGACACTGCCAGCCGCCATCAGGACAAGGAAGATGTAAAGTACCGGTAAGCCACAAGCCACGTGGCAAGGTATAGATTGATAGAAATGGATTAATTTAAGCTGTAAGAACAGTTAGCAAGAAGCCTGCCACGGCCATACAGTTTGTAACCAATATAAGTCTCTGTGTTTACTTGGTCGGGTCTGAGTGGCTGTGGGACTGGCGGGTGAGAGAGTTTGTCCTGACTGTGGGCCAGGCAGGAAAACTCTAGCTACACTCCTCCCCATTCACTCCTCCTCTGTCTCCATTCAGAAAGGGACAGGCCTCCCATGGACTTGAATAAAGCATGGCACATCAAGTTGAGGCAGGGCCCAGTTCTTCCCCTTGCATCAAGGCTGGGCAAGGTAATCCGACATGGGGAACAGGTTCCCAAAAGCCAGCTAAACACCAAAGACAGATCCCGATCTCACTGCTAGAAATCTTATAAACAGACCAAGCTATACAACTGTCACACACATGCAGAGGGCCTAGGTTGGTCTCATGAAGGCTCCCTAACTATTGGTCCAGAGTTCATGAACTCGCATGAGCTCGGGTCAGCTGTCTCTGTGGGTTCCTCCATCAAATGACCTTGACCTCCCTGGCTCATACAATCCCTCTTCTCTTTCTTCAGCAAGACTCTGGGAGCTCAGCCCAGTGCTTGACTATGGATTTCTGCAACTGCTTCCATCTGTTAATGGATAAGAGTATCCCTGATGACTGTTAGGGTAGTAACCAATCTGATTACAGTAGATGGCCAGTTCAGGCACCCTCTCCACTATTCCTAGGATTCTTAGCTGGGGTTGTCCTTATGGATTCCTGAGGGTTTCCCTGGTGCCAGGTTTCTCTCTAAACCCAAAATGCCCCGCCTGTCCTGCCTCCAACCTGCGTCCTGCACCCAGCCCACCCAATCAGCTCCCTCAAGTTCATATCTCTCCATCCCACCCCTCAGCCCCAGTTTACCCAGGAGATCTCTTCTATTTCCCCTTCCCAGGGAAATCCGTGTGTCCCTCTTTGGGCCCTCCTTGTTATCTAGCTTCTCTGGGGCTATGGGTTGTAGGTTGGTTATCCTATCCTTTACTCCTAATATCCATTTATGAGTGAGTGCCTACCATGTGAACAATGGCCTTTTTAACATGGGAAATTAGTAGCAGGCAATAACGACCAACTTTAGTTGATCTCAAGTCAAGGGTTACTGGACACAGGGTAGGCTGCCTCCAAGACTACTGTCCACTAGAGCAGACACTGTAGAAGCATGGTCTGTGGACGACTGGGGCTCCTCACAGTCTTTCAGGGAATCTTCAAGATGAGAAATAACTCTAGAATGATGCTGAGAGATTTTCTTTTTTCACTGAGTTAACATTGGTGCCAGTGTCAGCAGGACTCAAGGCGAGTTCTACCTGTGCCAGGTGTCATCTCCAAAGCCATGCTCTGCAGACACTGACACAGCCAACCTCACTTCAGAATTCCCTTGATATAGCCTTGAAATCAATAAACCTTGACTCTGGGGAGCAGGCCATGTTATCATCCTCTGTGGTAAGACAGGAAGAACCAAAAGTTACTTCTGTTCCATGCTGAGAACTGGCAGCGGACTTGAGGAAAAGCAAGCATGCAGTTCTTGGAGCCACAAACCAAATGGCCATTTTTTGTTGTTGTTGTTTTTCTTGGAACAGCATTTGTCATCAAAGAGTGACTGACAGACTTCAGAGTGGGTCTTTGGCAGGCGGTGTCTCAAAAATGAACAAAACGAGCCTGTCGCTTCAAGGAAGCCAGCTGACGGTACTGTGGCCAGTGATAAAATCCAGGATTTCAAGCGAAACACGAGAAACTTTAGAAGCCTTGTCAATTAGGGTGCTTTATGCTGTGAGTCGGACAGTTGCCCAGTGCCTCAAAACTTTTCTGAGGATGGAAGTATTTAAAAATGTAAGCCCCGCCCCCACCTCTTACTCCTTCCATCCCTCCCTTCTCTCTCCCTCTCTTTCTGAGACAAATAATCCATGTAGCACAGACTGGTTTCCAACTTTCAATTTCCCCACCTCCATCTCCTAAGTATTGGGATTACAGTTGTGTACCACAGTGCCTGAATTCTTTTTTACACATTTTTCAGTTTTTAGATTTATTTATTTTATTTTTTGTGTCTGAGTATGTTAGTTGTATGTATGTACACGTACCGTGTGCATGCTTGGTACCCATGGAGGGCGAAGAGGACATCATATAACCTGGGACTGGGGTAAACCACCATGTGAATCCTGAGAAATGAACTCAGATCTGCAGCCAGAGCACCAGTACTCTTAACTGCTGAGCAACTGCTCCAGCTCCTTTGTATATGTCACAGTTTATAACTCTATCATGCAGGAACTCCTCCTAAGTACCAAATTACAAGACTGTGGCATCCAAAGTGTATGCCTTAGAGGCTGTGAGATCACAGGTGTTTTATAGGGAAATATGTCAAAATTTGGAAGGTCTGCTTAGATCAACGAACTAATTTTTCCTGAGCAGCAGATGCACGTAGTTAGAAATTATTGGTGAGTGAAGGTCCATTAAAACTGCAGAACAGACCAGTGGGTACATATGTGCCTGGAAGGGAACCAGGCTTTTATACGGATGCTAGAAAAGTGCTCTACCACTGATCAGCCCCAGCCCAGACCGATGGGGTCTCAGTTACTGTTCTATTGCTGTGAAGAAACAGCAGGACCAAGGCAGCTTGTAGAAGAAAGCATGTAATTGGGGGCCTGATTACAGTCTCAGAGAGTTAGTCCATGATCATCATGGTGGGGTCCATAGTGGCAGGTAGGCATGCACTGGAGCAGCAGCTGAAACCTTGCATCTGATCTTGCACAAGATGGAGGCAGAAAGAGAGAGAGAAAGAGAGACTGGGCATGGCATGAGCTTTTGAAACCTCAAAGCCCCAGTGATACACCTCCAACAAGGCCACGCCTACTCCAACAAGGTCACACCTACTCCAACAAAACCATACCACCTAATCCTTCCTAAACAGTCTTTCAATCAAACATTCAAATGAGACTATTCAAATATGAGATTACAAAGGCCATTC